GACAGGTCACTGGTGGCTAGTCGTACTGAATTCTTTCAATGTAGATTTTTGGTAGTTTATAGTATTTTATTTCTTATCCTTCGTATTATGTATACTAGATTAGACATTACTGTAAACAAGACTACACTTCCGCAATAAAAAAAAAAAAATAATAATAATAATAATAATAATAATAATATATTATTCATATAGTTATTAAATGAAATTATTAATGTTAATATATATGGTAAGTGATAAGTCATGTGTAATTTATCAACTGACATATCCTAGCCTTCAGAGATGCATTCTTTTCATTTGATTATAGAAGTAATTTTCAGTCAAAGATCATCAATAAATTATTTCCTTAAATATCTTGACAGTGCACAAGTAAAAAGATATGATGATATATTTATGCAAAGTGATACCTCAACAATGATCAATGTTCATGTGGACGGATAAAAATCTGTAATGTAATAATTGTAGTAAGTGGGAATAGTCATTGGCGAGCTAAAAATATAGTAATTTATTACCAGTCCCAGCGGCAAAAGCGCCAGTTAATCACTTAAAACACCGGTGAATGTAAAATAAAAAGAGTATCTTCCTCTTTCTTTATCCACCGTAACAACCCATTAGCTGATGCAATTACCGCAGACTTTGGTATCATAGGTCCAAAAGCTGCGTATAGTTCAAAGCTTGCGGTGGTCTTTAAAAAATAAAGTGTGCCATTTGACATTATTCACATAAATAAGTAATTCATAATTAAATATTAGTAGATAAATTTAGTAGAACATACCCATCCGAGAATCGTTTCACTTGGACTCACGTAATAGTGAACCTTGAGCGGTCGTATCCGCGAGTGCATACGGTCATGAGTGTATCGATATAGCTTGAATAGCCTTGGTTAAATAATTTATTTTATCATTTAACAAGTAAAAGGTAAAATTATAATATGAGAAATATGGTAAAAGTATAAGGCTATCTCAAAATTTTGAATTTCAACTTCTAATATCTTGTAAGCTAGGGGAAAATGAACTTACTTTCGTTTTTCACGTGGAGTATTGTATGGTCTGGCAAATTCAGATGAGGTGTATTGTACATGCTGTTTGGTCTTATAAATAAAATGGCGAAGACCAGGTACACCGACGTCCGCTAAATAAACAGCAACAATTCTTTATAAATCATAATCAAATCAGGCAAAACAAATTCGACTCAAGATTAACTACCAATTGAATATTCATTATTTAGAATGGCATTTTCCAAATCCTTAAGTGCAGTTGTCGACGAGAGTTGCTATATTTTATTTACGAAAAAGAAAAATCGTTCATTCAGTGATAATACAGTTTATATAACTCGTAATTATTATTTGTACTCGAATTAATTTTACCTTTATGATTTTCGATTTTGCTTTCGACAACTCAAAGAAATTATCGTGATCCGGCGAAATCAATAATAGACACACATTAGTGACAATATAACTAACATATGCATGCAGGAAACCTTTGTTATTGAATTTTGGAAGGCAAATAGGTATCCATGATTCGGCTGATTTAAATGTCGAAGATCCGTTTATCGTGTTGAAAATTAGGTGAAGATCTACATTTTATATTTGAATGGAAGTAAATAAATAGAAACTGATGTTGATATAAAATAATTTTGAAAAAAAAAAATAAAAACCACCTGCTGGGTGAAGACTATGTCTTCTAGGCCGTAGCAAAGTAATCAGTTTATTGTTTGTTATCAACATGGCATACAAAAGATCCTATTGTTATATTGTGTTAATAACAAATATTAAATTAAACTATAAATTAAAAACGTCCGGAGAATCGCATACCTTTGACTTTACAGGTTGCATTGTTGCGCCGACTTTATCCCGTAATTCTTTGCTCATTCGCACGCACTGAATTGAACCAAGCATAAAGCCCGGATCATCACTCATACCCGTCGCGAGATTATCTAAAAATATCTCAGTTCCTATATAAAAGCGGATTCACTATATCGTTAAACAAACAATAGTGATATGATTATGATATTTGAGATTCTTGTTATTACCTCCCAAAAGCCTCCGTAAATCGAAATTAATCCTTTGTTCAAAAATCTTTGTCAATTGCACAGAAGTCAAAACACTCAAAATTTGGTTATACATATAATTCAATTGATCTCTCAACTGATAAAAAATAAGGAGTGTGTGAGAAGCTATACAACAATAATTGAACAGAATATTGATTAGTAGTTACCAAATATGTTAATTAATTAACCTGAGATTCAGATTCATTTGTCCGTGAAACTGCGACCAAATATAATGGTTCTTTAAGTAGAAAAACAAATTTATGTTGTCCGGCATTAATACATCTGAAAATATTGATTATGTTAATATAGAATGACATTGTATATAGTAGTGAACGCGTGATACATTACGAGTACCTTAGAGAATCATCAGCATCCGCAAAAAAAGAGACGATTGCTTGAATTACACCCATGTAACTTGATATCCTTGACTCATCTCCATATCTTTTTTTGAGAACATAATTACCCAACAATTTAATCAATATATAATTTTTTTAATCAATTATATTCACAATAAAAATATAAATTAATACCGTGTATATATCGGTTTTCCCGCGCTACTCAGAATAAAGAAATGTTTCCTATGTCTAGCCCAAGTTGTTGATTGAGGATCTACGAAATAACAATATAATAATTTTAGAAATTTATAGATATTATTATCAATTATATAAAATAAGAATATCCAATGAAAATAAACACCTCGGACCTTCATGTAAGTACTTGCGCTGATAACCAGAGTGTTGAGTATCTAATGATAGCGCAGAACCATCAAGATTTCTTGAATGTCCATATGACACTTTTATACTTTTAACAGCATTCTTATTCCATTCAGATGATGAATCTGAATCTATCAAAATAATATATATATATATGTATATTGAAGAATCATTAAAAAAGCCCAAAAATCAGTTATTGAATATATTTATACCAAGACATTCTTCACATGCTTCGAGTGCTTCCCCTTCCGATAGCTCATTATCTTGTTGAACGGTGAATAATGGGCTTTTCTGGCTATGAAACACACTTTTTCCAGCACTAGTTCCAGAGTAAAGTCTTTGAGAAGATGGCTCACTGCTATTTGATACATTTGAGTTTGCCCTATTTATTAATCCAATTAATAAATCGTCGACACCCATTTCTTTTGTGGAGCTTCCAATTTCAATTGTATTAGATATAGCATTGACGCTCTTGATAGAAGAGCCGCCAGAAGAGCTACTATAGGCAGTAATTAAGGAATGTTCTATTGATAAATGAGTAGTTGCCTTTGACTTTCCCTGTGGCTTCAATGCTGGAGATGTTGGATCATCAGAGGTGATTATACTTGCGTTGGAATCAGAAAAAAAGTCTTCAACAACCGGGGGAATTGGCTCTAAAGACATTTTGCTGAACAAAGTTGAGAGATGTAACGAATGACGTAATAGAAAATTTTTGTGTCTATAAACAAAATTGCCATTTCAATTTTACTCATTTTACTCAATAATGGCTTTCGGAGGAACAGGTTTTAGCTTTGGTAATAATACTCAAAATCCCACTAATACTCAACAAACAAACACAGGTTTTAGCTTCGGTGCTCCTCAAACAACTGGCTCTACTGGGTTTGGTTTTGGAGCACAGCAACAGCAACAACAACAGCAACAGCAACAGTCAAATGTAGGAGGATTTGGAGCTAGTGGTGGTTTTGGCAGCACTAATCCATTTGGTGGTACCACTTCAAATGCCTTTGGAAATCCTGCAGGTGGAGCGAGTTCAAGCGGAACAGGGTTTGGTAGCTCTTTAGGTGGTGGTGGGACTTTAGGCTTTGGAGGTACGACGACGAATACGGGTTTCGGTCAACCCCAGAATGTCACAAGTGGCTCTGTGACCGTTCCAGGTGCGTTTGGAGGATCCTTTGGCACTAATACTACTACCACTAGTACAGGAGGAACTTTTGGGTCTGGTGTTGGAGGATTTGGTGCTTCTCCCACACCTGCTTTTGGTTCTGGTGCATTTGGTTCACCAGCTAAACCGAATTCCATTGGTTTTGGATTTGGCGCCGCACAAACACCACAACAGCAACAACAACCACCACCACCATCACTCACTTTAACAACAAACAATGCGTTTGGTGGTGGGTTTGGTGCGGGGCAGCAGCAGCAGCAACCGAATACTAATGCCCAGACAAGTAATTTTTCATTTAATCAACCGCAATCTTCTACATCTAAACCTGCTTTTGGTTTTGGTCAATCTGGTATCGTTAATAATACTTTTGGTAGTGGATTTGGTGGATCTTTGTCATCTTCTGCCAACACTACTAATCCTACTACAACTAATACTACTACAGGTGATTTAATGATTGATTGATTGATTGATTAATTTGTTTATTTATTTACGTATTATTATTTATTGTCTAATCGAGTTCATGATTAAAATTTAATACCAAATAATTTTGACGACACACACAGGATTACAGCCATCTAATACATTTCAACTTGGACCATCTGCTACGGGAGCATTTGGCGCCCAAAAATCCGCTTGGTCTTTTCCATCTACAACAACGGCGACTCCATCTCTAAATTTTACTTCATTTAATCAATCAGCAACGACCAATCCTTTCTCGTTTTCGACTAGTGGAACAGGAGGATTGAATCTCGGTTTAAACACACAACAACCACAACAGCAACAACAACCACAATTTATGACTCAACAGCAGCAGCAGCAACAATTACAGCAGCAAGCTGGTAAAAGGTTTTTTTAAGAAATTGAATCAATTGAGGATTTTTGTAGCCTAACAATAATTGCGAAGCAGTCGTCAATTTATGTACAAATACAACAATAACGTGGTGTACAATGAAATGACCCCTTACAAGCTACTATTGGACTTCTTTTTGATAACTGATATCCGAAAAATTATATTCTCGGGTCTATATCTATTTGTTTACTTTGTCATTTTTCAGGTCCAGTTGTGAAAACCCCTTATGAAAAGTTGATTGAACTTGGTGTTGCTTGGGCAATTAATCATCCTGATTATAAATTTCAGGTGTTTTTTTACTTATCTGATATCCTATGAAAGTTTTCTCTTTTTTGATATATTAATAATGTTTCTGTAATTTAATTGTTACAAGTTTTATTTTTATAATATGATTCACCCCAAAGATATGAAGTCTGTTGGACCACCAACAGATCGGTCGCCAGCATTATGGGAACAAGCACAAAAAAATAATTCTGATACGTCATGGTAAGCAATTTGGTGATTTATTTTCGTTTATATTTATTGATGATAAAAAAAATTATTTATATTGCATTGCTTTTTTTATTGATTAAATGGATGGATCGAGCAGTATGGTCCCATCTTTGTCACTCGGGTTTGATGGAATCAAAAAACGAATTGAATATGCACAGAAATATTCTGAAATGAGTAAACATAAACTTGAGGTAATCGAACTAAATAACAATCAATTATTCTCTCTCTCTCTTGAACCTTTGTAACATTAGAAATTGGAACCCCTTGTTAAACAAATTGCTGTTCCTTTTATTTTATCAGGAACTAGAAAGACAAATAAAAAATATGGAAGATAAACATCACATGGACAACTTAGTAAAAATTGACCGATGTAAACAGAAAACTCTGGAAATTACAGAACGAATGATATCGGTGGGTAACAGGAATCAAGCAAGCTCTCGCAATCAAAGTTTTTACTTAAGCATAGTTTTGCATTCAACAATTAATATCGTTATTTTCTTTTTTTGGATAGGTCATGAAACAATTGCACCTAAAGAAACTCAAAGGAAAACCACTTCGTCCTGAAGACGAAAGAAATCAAGCAGAGCTCGAACGAATTCATCAAAAGTTACAGAGATCACTACAGAAATTAGAACACTTGAATACTGAAGTTAGTCGGATGAAAGTCCAGATGGTGTCGCAGATGCCGACTACGCAAAAGTTCAGTGTGGGTGACGAACGTCAATTGAATTCAATAATTGAGGTAATTGAAATTATTAAACATTATTAAAAAATTTTAATTATTAATTAAAATATTCTAATCCGAATCTAAAACCTAAAAAGGTGTTGTCTGATGAACAACGCGGTATTGTTCAACTCATACGTACAGTTCAACGAGATTCAGATGACGTACAAGAGGTGAACAATGCATTATTAAAGAAATTAATCAAATAGTGTATTTGATCCATTCATTCGAATTATTTATTGGTAAGTGTGTGTGTATTGATATTATTATCCAAGTTTATCTTTATTTTGTATAAATTGAATTTTAATACTAAATCGCGATAGTTAAAGTGAATAAAGCACTATTCTTAATTAGATTATACTTTAAATTATTTATAATTTACAAATAAAGAAATTTTTAATCTGTGGGTTCTCTTAGAGAAAAAAAGAAAAAATTTTCCATCAATAAAATCATTAAATTAACTTGCAGAATTTTAATAATCATGCATGAAAATCGATTTCTACATCCTTGATGTCATCGAAAAGATCTAAAAGAGTAGCAGCAGACCAAGCCTGAGTTGGACAAGCGTCATGGCATTCGGCTCCATTAGCATTAGTTAATTCCGGAAGTCCGGCCCATACACTGGTTTCTATGATTTTACGATGCGGCAAAAGCATACGCATAATGTTGTGAATCGTTTCGTGAGGCTATTAATAATAAAACAAACAGAAACAGTAAATGAATTATTTATTTGATTAATCAATAATATAAAAGAATTCATATCTGATCTCGTTATTATAATAATTACATTATCTTTGCCAGCACCAACACGAGCATCAAAATATAAATATGCGCGCAGGAAATAACCAGTAACCCATAACCATTCCTAAAATAGAATAAAAAACTGTCATTTCTAAAAAAATATTTTCATTAAAATAAAGATAAAAAAATTACCGGGCCTTGATGATAATTCCATCCTTTGGCTACAGATTTGTCTGTCCCGTCATTACCGTTATCGTAGTTTCCACGATAAGCTGGATCCTCTGGATCAAGAGTAAGCATTCCCAAAGGACCTGCAATAATCTCACGTGCAACGTTTAAAGCTTTCAAGGCATGCTCTTCATTGAATAATTCTGGTGCCTATTTATTATTTCATGATAAAAAAAAGGTTACAAAATGCTGGAAATGTATTTAATGTGTATATAAACGATATTTACATACCACAACCATTGCTATAGGGAAATTTGGTCGAAGTTGGTAATCTGTAAAATTGTAGGATGATTTATGAGTATCCTTATAAATACCCCTTCGTTTCACCATATCTGATTTTAGATTGTATTTTGAATCCTCGCTGGGATCTATAATTAAGTACAATATAATATCGTTAACACGTTGATTCTTATAATGGTAAATAACTCGATCAATGAAAGATTTGATTTAACAAATTAATGTCGTACCAATCGGTATATAGAAATTCTTTTCGAATGATTCTTGAATGAGGTCATTCCATCGGGCAAAGGTTATTAATTTGGTTCCCTCAACAATTCCATTTTTCCCTTTATTACTTGTGCCCTTGTCTATATAAATTTAAAATTTAAATCGATCGTTCCAATATGATGAGAATTTTTATTTAAATCGTTCCTTATGATTCAATATGTACCTGGAATCTCAACACCTTTCCATGGATATACTCCTTTTTCATTCAACTCGGTTAGCCACCTCAAAGTGGATTTTAGCAAACCAATGATTTCAACATCTGCTCCGTCTCTTGGAGTCGCAGGTTCTCCAAGGTTACCAGCTTTTTCAGATTCACCCATTTTATCCATCCATGTACCACAATTCCATTTACTTCCGCCAAACAACAATCCAGTATCCCAGTCAACATCTATATCAACTTGAAAACCTTCACTTTTCATTGCATGATCAAGGTTATGACCGGCATTCCATTCGCGGAAGTGAATTCCACGAGCATGACGTTCCAGTATTTCCTGGATAATTTCTAGCAAAGTGCTATTGTATGAATAAGCTTTAGGATCATCTGCTTCAATAAATTCATCGTCTTTAGGAAATCTTCGTGCGATAGATTCTTTCAAGATATCATAGCCTTCGGGAGCGAATTTACAATATTCTTGTATGGCTTGAAGATACCACCAAGTGGCATCACGACAGTTATAACGTGGTCTACGACCAGCATCCAGAAGATTAGGAATCATTCCATGTTTTAGTACGCTCCCGAATCCAAGAATATGATCTCGTGCAGCCTGAAAATTTCCAGTAGTAATGAATAGACCACGTAAAGAAATAAAGACGTCACGACCCCAACATCTCATGTGATGATGGATGAAATGAGGTAATCCAGCAGCACATGACGGACCATTTTTAGTTGGATGCAAACCTGTTGATAGAACAATGCCATACATCTGGACAGAACATAGTGCGAGCGAATGTATGAAAGGACCACCGTCAAGAACAAAAGGAGATAATTGTTGGAATGTTCTGTGAATAGCAGCTTTATAAGCAGTTTTCATAGTCAATGCAAAATATTTAGGTACTAAGAAATTTGGGACTGCCTTGATAGCTGTAAATCGAGAGTGGTACCAATCCACCAGTTTTTTCAATTTAGGGGTGATAAATAGATGTCTTAAAGATGTAAATAATAAAGTTTACTTGAGTGTATTATTATTCACATGCAAAACAATGATTCCTAAAAGAAAACAATACCTTTCAAGCCTTCCTACTGTATAGTCAAGAGCCCAATGGCCTTCACGCAGATTGGCACAAAACGGATGTCCTAAATCGTTATGTTTCATGATTGGTCGAAGGACAGACATGAAGCCTTCTATACCACAGTATGGAATATCACCATAATTCGGGATATGATATACTCCATGACCGGAAGTCACGTCGTTTTCTTCCCCATTACAACGGTAAAGAACAATATTCAGGTCAACAAGATCTAGCTCTTCGAAAGCTTCTTCAGTTCCAGTTTCCACAAAATCGTCTAGACCGTCAGGCTTATTATCAACCCAAGTTTTTAATAACATTACACTACCAGAAGGGAATTCCTTGGGTAATATTACTTCGGTAAATTCACCATTAGCATCGGAACGTCGTCGTAGAATAGGCGCGTTTAGTGATTTTAAAGTGGCAGGTAACCCAGATAAAAATTTTTCATCGTTTTCCACGCTACGAGATTTCACTTCCAAATAAGTTGAGAACAGCAACTCAGCCGATGTACCTCGCAGATTGATGGGATTTACTGTCACAATTAAAATGCAGAGTGGCTGAGTTTTGCGTTATGCTATGATAAACAATTCACATGCTTAAACTTACAATCACCACGGTCCATCGTGAAACCTGCGAAAGCGCTATGCGCAACTAATAAATACCCATCGAGAGTATTAGGATGGAAACGATGTACAATAATGTACTAGCCAGAATGGGTTGACGTTAAAAAACATGACACATATTAGAGTGCATAAAATCGAGGGATTATTAATCATACATACGTCATTTTCATGGTGCACATGTGTTTCGATATATCCATCCAATGCCATTTCGGTATGCAAATGTTGCAAGACTTTTTTGACTAGTGTAAATAGGAAATTATTAGAAACTAGAAATCATCGAATGATCATTTATAAACTTACCTCGTGCTATGCCAATATCTAATGATTCTTCGTACAATGGATATAAACGAGTCTCATTTACGAGATCAACATAATGTGGGAATACTTCATCGTAACCTTTTGTGCTACCAACAGCACATGAACTCATCGCGACTAGTGCTCCAGTTGAAAGCGTATCCTCTGCAGTCCTTTTTTGATGTGGAGATTCGTTATCATGTGTACAATCCATAAATAGGGCATGTGGCTTCGATCCAGATAGTGGAATAATTAGACAAGCTTCTTTCTGTTCATCGGGTCCAATACATGTTGATGAATCAGTAAGGCATGCAGTGTCGATCGAACCTTTTATTGAATAAAGTTATATAAGAAATATATTATTTGAAAATTCATTTTCTATAGAATTCATACCGATTGGTTTGCCGCCATGTCTGTGCACGTATCTACTTAACTCTTTAGTATCCCATGGTTGCATTGCTTCACGAATCAAAGAGTTAATGCCGAGTTGGCTAACAAATTGAATGTCCATTTCTTCGGATCCAGTAAAAAGCTCGGCAACGACATACAAATTAGGTCTAATACGTCGAGCTTTATCAAGTAAATATTTGGCGAGATGAATTGGAGTCGAATGACAGTTATCTATTCTAAACCCGTGAAACAACGAAGCCGATAGTTCAGTATATTTAGTTATATGGTCCCAAAGCCAAGGAGATTCTTCCTTTTGATTGTAAATTAAAAAAAATAATTGCCAATTATAGTTGATAGAAAATATAAGAAATGAAGATGTAATAAAATATTATATATAATTACCCTGCTTTTTCCATAGCGTAATTTGACGCAATCGCCCCAGACTATTACTTCCCGTTTGAGATATGCATAAGACTCACTGTTCGCAAAATCCTGCAGAGGATTCGCATTCCAAATCCATCCGTTATTTGCAACAGCTAAAGAACCTTCCGGATGTTTACGTGTAGTTTCATTTAACGGTAGACGGGTAAAATAAGTTTCGATCAAAGGATGACTACGTATCACAAATTGATTAAAAATTCTTATTATTATATAAAAATAAATACAATGATAAACATGAAATTACTCTTTTGTAATTTCGCCCATTTTTGGCCCGTGTCCATCTAATCGCATGTACTTTACTCGATTAAATATATTTTCAATTATGACTAAAACATCGTCGTCATAAAATCTATAGAAACGAAGATTAATCTCGTTAAGCAATTGTTCAGCTTTCTTGAGATAGAATTCTGTTGGATCTACCATAGGCACTTGCACAGGTGGTTCTTGTGGCGCATCGGGTTCTACGGGTTCTTCAGATTTTTTGTCTTCCTCAGGATCTCCCGGTGATTCTTCTTTTATAACTTCAACTGTGACACTGCTGGATTTTTCTACTGCATCAAAAGCATCAATTCTTATTTTTCCAGTACTTGCCACACTCACTTCCGCTCCTTCTTGAGATGTTTCTTTAAGGGGTGTAGCTAATTTTTTTGTTTTCACTGCCTCATTCGATACTTTTACTACAGCATGTTCTTCAGTTACAATGTCTTCTTTAACTGAAACATTATCTTTTTTATCGTTCGAGGAAACAACTAGATTTTTAACTTCATCCTCAAGTTGTTTTTTAACTTTCTTCAGAGCTTGTCCGATCCGAGCTTTCTCAAGTTTAGCTCTTTCGAGTCTTTCCTTTTCCAACCTTGCACGTTCACGTTTTTCCTGCTCGATTCGTTCCTTTTCACTTCGTCCAATTCGTAACGTTTTCTCATGTTTCTTTGCAATTTTTGCCAGTCGAATATTTTCTCTTTCTTGCCATTCAGTTTGGAGCGATGTGTATATTCTATCCTGTTCCGCTTTGAAAGCAGTCTGGAATTCTGAACCTTCGCTCCATTTTTTCAGAAATCCGATTGCTTCCTTGACGCTGATTCTTTTTACAAATCTTGTGCCAAATTTATCTTGATCTGAAATTGCATATTTTAAGAATAAATCTGCCTGTTGTTGCAAAGAAAGATTTTCGATATCAACATTTTTGAACATTACGTGATCTCCTTCAATTTTTGTTACTAATGCTGTTCTTAAATCGTCTACCGAGTCCTTAACATTAATTATATAATATTCCCATAGGCGTATTTCAGTGAGTAGATGACTTTTAATGTAATCCATAATTCTATTAAGATCGTTTTCCGAGTGAAGAAATGTTGGAAGACCGTGTTTATCCAAATCTTCAGAAAATTGGAGCAAAGCAGTGTCAAGCTCATACGCAGGCTTTAGATGGGGCGAATTATGTAAATTATAACCTAGATACGAAAAAAAAACCCCATTAATAAATAACACATGATAATAGATATTTGAATTTTTTTTATCCATTTATTTAATAATAATAATAATACAAGCTCTCACCAGCCTCAGGATGCTCTTCTAACCATTTACTGTTACATGAAGTATGATTCCAGACTACATCAGTCAAGCTCAAGACCCCATAATCATCTTCAAATCTTTTCAGCGTATTACGCAAAATATCAATTTTCTCATCCGTGCTTTTTGTACGATCTGTGCCATCGAACAGATCGTCTGAGAAGGCCAATTGGTCATATATGGAATAAGGAGAATTTGAAATTCCGCGTGCCTGTATGGGAACAAAATGAATCATATTATATCCAAGTTCACTTATAGCCTTGACGTGTTGACCCCAACTACTAAGTGAACCAAGCAATTTCGGCAATACTGTTTCGATGACAAGGCCATCAAGCGGAAGTGGAACTCTTTTCAACGAAGAAACACGTTTTGAAGAGAGGATTCTACGACGTGGGAGAATGTGTAGCAATGGATCAACATTAAAATGAAATATTTCTGTTCGCTCAATAGAGGTTAACACCTCGCCAGGTAAAGTCGACACTGCACGATGTTCTACATAGAAGTCAAACGCGCCAGACATCCGAATCATAATGTCAATGTTGAGTGATTTCGAAAAATCGGTAGGAAAGCTAATTACGGATTTACATACACAATAAAAAAAATTAATATTTTACTTTAAATCAACAGACATTTTAACTTACTTTTTTGGATAGAATTTATTTCTGTCGAATTCTCTTCTAAAAATCACAAAAAATTAGCCGAGTAAAACTGCAGATTTTGATTTCCAGTAAAAAAATAACAAAACTTAAAATAAGTTACCCAAAAATTGGATAATTTGTATATAAAACACCGCCATGAGAAGCTGGAGAACCTGATCTTATATTGAATCTAAGAACATATGGCTTTACAGGTGGAGGTAACCGTATATACTAGAGCAAAAAATATATAAAATCAACAGCCGCCACTTCATAAACCAAAATTTTAGTAAAAAACGCGTAAACCTCTTTACTTGTTTATCTTTGGGAAGAGACCCTTCAGCCTCCAACTCTAGGCGATACACAGTGAATTGCTTTTCTTTTCTACTAGTAGCCATTTTTGTTGGCAAATAATACAATACAATTGATAAAGTTCAAAAAACTTCTACAGCATTAATATTTTCCCGAATCAGTGAAAAATTACATCACAACAACCATATTCTTTTTTTAGCAAAAGATTGACTTACCTTTCATGGGAGATTAAAATATATGCATGGTGATATAAACACGCGCAATATACATAGAAACGCGCAATGACCATGTCTATCAATTAAAATGTTTGCCATAAAGGCGGGTACGAGGTTCAAGAATTTCAGGTTTGATGGATAAATTGCTAATAATTAAATTTTTTGGATTACGCGTTATTTATTATTGGAAGTTACAAAAGGAGTCTTGAGCGTATTTTCGCGACATTAAAGAACAGGAGTCGTACGATAAGTGAACTTGGCAATTCCAAGTCAGTGATAAAAGTAAATGACACGGATGATGAGGCAAAAATAACACATGAGGATGCAGAGGAGGCTGCGATTTCGATAGAAAAAATAGCAAGAAACAAACTCTCAAAAACTACGAAAACAACAAATTCTATCAAATCTATAAAAATTATTGATAACAGTCTTCCCGTGTTATCTTATAAAGATGACGAAAAATACAAGATAAAGTATATTAGCGATGATAGAGAGGCAAACGAATTGATAGGAATGAACAGGTGAATACTATTAAATAATGTTTGTCGGGATCTTTAACTGGATCAAATAAATTTTTATTATCTTCCAGATCGAAGTTATTTGGATTTGATATTGAATGGCGCGTATTTCCTAAGCCACCATCTCCTGTCTCATTATTACAACTTTGCGACGCGTCCACGATATTCTTATTTCATGTAGCGCGCATGCAACGTTTCCCTCGTTATCTTCAAGAATTAATGGAAAATCCAATGATATTAAAATTTGGACCAAATATATGTGCAGATGGAAAGAAACTTTTTCGAGATTATGATATACAATGTAAGAGTTTAGTGGAGTTGGGATCGTTGGGTATACAAGTAAAGAAGGATGGATTCATCACTCAACGAAAAGTACAATCATTGAGAACATTAGTAGAAGTATTGGTATGTATGTATCTTTTATCTATGTTTATTAACAAATATCTCGAAACCGCAAAATCATGTCTTTATTTAAAGTTAGAAAAACAAATAATCAAAGACCAAAAAATTCAGAAAAGCAATTGGGATTGTTGTTGGCTTTCTAAACCACAGATCGATTATGCGGCTAATGACGTTTATGTATATTTCAATTTTTTGATTGTATTTTTTTTATTATCGATTTTTCTTTAAAGTCATAATTCAATTAATTTTCATGGGAAAGGCTACATATCTTTTAGCAGAGAGAATTTTCGCGTTACAAAGTGAACAAATCGCGTTAGATCCGTCGATCAGTTACGCAATTGATCTATGTGATATTGATCAAGAAACGACAAAAGTCCGAAGATTTGCGATGAAGATTATTATTTAAAAGAAAAATATGCTTTTAAAAGCGATGGTTATCTTCGTCATGTTTCATTTGGTATGCGTGTGATTGTCAATTAATATGCATTGATGATAGAACACTGGTTTTTTTAATACAGTATTGATTTTTGCTCGCTAATTTCATAAAAGCCAATTTATCATCCCATCATTATCTTCAACATAAATGACATCATATTAACATCGTCATCACAACATCAAGATCTAATTCATCTTAAACATCTTAGATTCAATCGTTTCAGCAATTACGCATAATCATACATGATGTTGATTGAAAAATAGGGTCACATGTCAAAAAAAAGAAATGTAATTAATTAATTTTTGTTTGGTCTGCTTATTCACTTTGATTAATTAATAGAAGTATATTAATTGTATATAAATATAAGTATATATTTTTCCTATTTCTAGAGCAGAGCAATTTATAAGGTAATTTTATATACACTTATGTGAAAAACTTGTATTTAAAAAATTTACAGATGTAATTATTAATGAATTGGATTTAGTTTTTTGTACTAATTTTAGTACATTTTATAAAATTTATAAAATATTCAAAAAATAAAGAAATTTATATGTTTTTGATATTTAAATATCAATAAACATTTCTTTATATAATTTTTATTAACATTAATAATATGCTTAATAAGAAATTATAATTATAAAATAAGAGATTTTTTAGTATTATAGATATACAAAAGATCTTAAGCAAGTTGATCTTCACTATTTTCAGAATACTAAGTAAAGTTTCTTTTAAATAAAATAAAAATGTTACTTTGATTTTCATTTGTCAATTTCTAGTAATACTGTTATAGTTGTAATAACAATTTTGTAAATTCAAAGAAAATTCTGAATTCAAAAAATAATTGAAAATATTAAAAATCTCTAAAAATAGTAAACTCTAAGAAATAACAAAAATAATTTATTAAATATTTATTTTATCACTATTTTTCATTACTTTTATTACTTTTCATTACTTTTCATCATTTTTATCAGTTTTCATCATTGATTATTATTATTATTATTATTATTCATCACTTTTCATTATAATTTATTACTTTTCATCATTTTTCATTATTTTTTATCAATTTGATTATTATTATTCATTATTTTTCATTACTTTTTATCATTTTTCATTATTTTTCATTATTTTTCTTTAGTTTAATTATTTTTTTATCATTTTTCATTACTTTTTATCATTTATTATTTTTTATTATTTATTTCATTATTTGTTATTTTTTATTCTTTTTATCATTTTATTATCAATTAGATAATTATTATTATTTGAAATTATATTTTCAAGAAATATATAAATAAAGATACCATCTGAATCTTAACTTGACATATTATAATTGAAAATAAAATCTTTCTTAACAAAAATCTTCTTTCAAACACTAATGACTTTATATCATATTGTGCTAAGCAAATTATTATTATTAAATTATTAGACTTTAGATTGTATTATACCAAACAAATTATTATTATTAAATTATTGAGCTTTATATTATATTATGCTAAACAAATTATTATATTAAAATTATTGAATTAAATTATAAGTATTTTATTTTTTGTTATCTGAATTTTTGATTATTAATAAATATTCCTCATTTATGAGAAAAATAAAGTGAAAGAGTTTTTGTTATTATTGTTACTAATTATATTATCTTAGCTCTAAAAAGCTATATGCAAGTATAGAAAATTACTTTTTTAAATCTTCTTTATTATTCTCTCTTCTCTTTGATCTTTATTCTTCTATAATTCTCTTATATTATTATTTTTTTAAGTAAACACAATTTCTGTAAAAATTGATATAGATCTTAGATACTTCTTTTTTTCTTAATATTTTTATCAGTCTATTACTCTCTTCCAATTCAGATTCAAGTTTGTAAGCTAATTTAACTATTATTAAACAAACTTATAATAAAATTATTTCTTATTTATAAAAAAATAATAAAAAAATTTTATGTAAATATTATTATTGTCATTATTTTTATTTTATTGATGCTAAAGTGTAGCCGCGTTCTAAATCTAAGACTAGTTTAACTTACAAAGTAAGATTTACAAATTATAA